TTTTTTTTTTTTTTTTTTTTTTTTTTTTTTTTTTTTTTTTTTTTTTTTTTTTTTTTTTTTTCGGATTGAAAAGAATATCTCAAGAATTGAACTGTGTTCGTTGGCTTCCCTCTTAAAATTTGAACTCGAATGTAAAAAGAAACAGAAATCGGCACGAGATCTATGGTGATAATCTCGAGAGAACTAAAAAAAAGTTGTTATTAGATCGAAATTGTAGGTTAGAAGAAGATCGAGTTGACCATGGAATTAGGTTTAATAGGCATGGTTCTTGATATTCGTGGAAAAGAGGACTAAGACTTGTTTCCCCAACGAACATTCAAAAAGTTGTGTGTGTCTCAGGGGAGGTTAAATGAAATCGGATACGAAAATCAGAATCGAAAATCAGAATCAGAATCGAAAATCGAGGCGAAATTGGAAGAAGAAGGGGGAAAAAAAGTGAAATATGTAACAAGATTCGGTTGTGTCGGTGATGGAACCTTATTCTGGAGGAGGATGCAGAAGATGCATCAGCCGGCTCAGTCCCCAAGAATCCGCATCTACATAGCGCCAATGGCGAGCAGCTATCTATCTGTTTGTGGCGTAACGTAGCGTCGGTTTTCAAGGAACCGAAGGAAGGGCCCCCTTCCCTCATTCAGACTGACTGCTTCTTTCGTCCTTTTCCACCGCCTGCTCTTGATTCGATCGGACGCATCTCTCTCTCTCTTTCTTATCTAACGGTCTCCATTGCGTTTCCTAATCTCACAGTTCAGTTCGTCCCCAGAATTCGCATCTCCTTCCAGTTTCGTTTCATCTCCTTCCAGTTTCGTTTCATCTCCTTCTTTGGGATTTACATTCACGCGCTCATCTACGTTTTCTCCTCTCTTCTGTCTGTTGCAGAGTACAGTGCTGCTGTATATTTTCTTAATCTCGTCGTCGATCTCCATTGTTTGAAGATATCAGGTTCGTCGAATTGTGGGCTCGAACCTGTGGCCCAAAAGTATATGTGATAGGATTGACGGTGGCCTTCCTTCATGCCCGTATTCGATATGAAGCCCACCTACGATGATCTCTTGATCGAAGGAATTTATGTCTTTTTCGTCCATGAAGTTTCAACACCGACATTTTTAGTCCCTTGAATTTCAAATGGTCACTGACCACTTAGTCCCGGAGTTGGCCTACTGAAATCGTGACATGGTTTCATCATCCCTCCTCTCTCACCTTTCCCCATTGTTGTTGTTCGCTGATCGTTGATGCTAAACGCCACACCGTCGTCATCGTCTGTCGATGCTGGCGGTAGGGCGATGTTCTAGAATCTGTGGTTCTCAAATCTCAAACAACAGTCCGTCCTATGTTCCCACAGATTCAGGAACAAAACCCACATTTGATTCACAGATGTGTAGGAACAAAATCCCAGATATCAAAAATGTACGAAACGATGATTAGCATTAAACTTTAGTTGATAGGAATCATGGGACATTGGAAACATGAGTATACTTTGAATAAATGGTGAAGAACACACCTCAGAATGCATAGATAATCTGTAAGTTTTACTAAGCTGTTCTCATTGAACCAAATCTCATATCACATCATTCCAATATTTGAGAAAAAGGGAAGGAAGAACTGTTGTGCGCCGAAAGCGGAACAAATGTACTCACAACACCAAAGTTACTCCAGACATACAATATGACACTCAAAACTTAATGATTTCAACAGCAGAAAGAATGGCATTATATAGCCTTCTGCTAAACCTAAAGATAAACTAACAAGCCAAAAAAAGACCTTGAGAGTAGGTCTTGGTCCTAGAGAATAGGACTTATGACAGTGTTCAACAAGAACAGCAAGTGCAGCAAGCCAACTGAAGAAATCAGAGCAAAATAAAAGCAATTTAAGTGGAGAAAAGTTGGAAGCCGCACCTCGAACAGTCTTAAGAACTTGTTCAAGAACAAGCAGATGCAGAAATGCTGTCCAAAATGAAAAATATCATATCATAGAACACATAAACGGCGGCCTCTAATGCACATTTCGCCAAAATCCCACATCTTCATTGGGATCTTAATGCGTTTTTCCAAATGAACATCCTAAGTTGGTCACTACTTCTCTTCAACTATCTACTGCATAACATCGTTTCTCATACCACCAAATGGTTGTTTTACATTCTATAAATAGTCACCGAGTATGCCTCTAGCACTAGAAAACTAATCAACCAAAGTTTTCCAAGCATTTCTGTGATTCTTCACATCTTAGGCTGATCAATGTAGCAATATATATCCATTTCTATGAAGTATCCATCAACACAATGGAAGACGTGTGTCTAATCAATCTATGAAGCTATAAAATCAAAGAATACCGGTTGATTCATCAGAAACTGGCATATCCAAAGTTGAATCTTGTTCACCATTTGATATCGCCATACTTGAAGATCTGCAGCTGAAGTAAAAAACTGCATTCATCATTGAATCAGTAAGAACAACAAATGAATACATAACCACCAAAAGAGGGCCTTCCCATATCCTGGACGACCCATCTCCATAGCTCAGCGTCTTAACCCTATGCTCAAACAGGCCCTCCACAAACACAGTCCCGATTGTAGATACCAGAAATATCAAAAGACCCACTTGAGTCTGACCCCTAATAACAACACACGATCGAAGCAATGCCCCAGGTCCTGCAATGTCTTCCAACACACAGATAACAATGGATATGTTGCAGATGATAACAGCATTAGCAAAAATAACAGAGAAGATAAGCCCTACGATCACGGCAGCAAATAAAATTAGATCAGGCGAAAACGCTAGTGCGTAAAGAGTACTGCAAACGGCACCAAGCAGGACCAAGAACAAGGTAAGACAACCAACAATCGCAAGACACGCCGAAGCATACGTGAGGAGAAGACGATTCCATATATTACGAACTATAGCAAAAAACTGGCTCGCTTCGAACCTTTTTTTTGCATATGTACAGTCCACCGTATGAACGACGGCCGCTTTTGATACCAAAGAAAGAGAAACGAACAAAGGAAAGCACATAGCCGAGGCAAGAATCGACTCTGCAAATCTCTGGCATGAATGTTCGATGATAGGTATCAATGGGAGTCCACTGGACTTGGCAATTAATACCAATCGAATAGTGAGCATCTTGACAATCGACTCATCAACTAACACATTGGATAGAAACACAGCGGAAACGGGGCAAATGAGCAAAATAGCAACAACCACAAACGCAGTAGAATTAAAGCGAAGAATCCGAACGGTTTCTCTCAAGATCTCCAGTGCGCTCATAGAGTGGAACCGATTGTCAGGTTCGATCCGAAAATCAGAGGGTTGTGACGACACAGTAAGCAAACGAAAATCTTGGCATTCTTTACCCGTCGGAGAAGGATCCCGGTGGATTTCGGGAGAATTGACAGAAGAAGACAGTTCCATTTCCAGTTTGCCGTCCTTAAATCCAACACGAGATCCGGGTAGAGCTAAAAGAAGATAACCCCCATAAAAGCAGGTAGCAGATATGGCAATTCAGAAGGGTCAGATCTGGGGAGGTGAAAAGGGGGATTGCCGCGTCATTGACAGGGAACGATGGGGGCTATAAGATGCTGTTCGAATTAAGGGAAAAGTAGGGAAGATGAAGTGAAAATGGAGGGAAGGTCCGGTGGAGGAGCAATGGAAGGCGGAAATGGCAAGAATTGAGAAAGAACAGTAGAAGTTTGCGGAAGGAAATCGAAATGGAGAAGGAGATTTGGCGATCCAGACGTCAAATTCCGCGTCCTTTCTTCAATCTGTCATCTCTGTCGCCTCTCTCTTTCAGAGACAGACCTCATCAGACATACATCGGCGTCAAACACGATCAGCGATGAATAAATTTATAATTAAACCTTTATTAAAATTATTTTAAAATATATATTTTTTAATTTTTTTTGGAAAGATTAATAATATAACCACAAATGTAAACCTAGGATGACAAAGTATAATGTCGCCATTTCATCAAATGGGTTATGTATGGGTACAGAATTGACAGCATGACTGGATAACAATGTAGTGTTTGAAGCGCATCATTGAAGATGAATGATAACAAGAATTCATCCGTTGAAACTAACACAAGTTCACAAAGGCAATCCAAGCCAAATCCCGGAGTTTCGAACAATAAACTAATAAATTCGACTGTCGAGATCGGCATCAGCTAACTCGAGTTTTCTATTTTCGTCTTCTGTGATGTCTTGATTCTCTGATTGCAGAGCCAAGACAGTGTTTCACTTTACAGAATAGGTTGTTTGATTGATGCTTGAATTCCTTGGATGGAGAATGAAAGAATTACCAGCTTTGCACCGGGACGATATTGGGATGAACCTGTTCGGAAAGCTCATAATGGGGTATGTTTTCGGTTGATCTGGTTAGAAGATGATGCTTGCAGTTGGGCAAGCCTCTCGTCTTGATCTGAACCATATAAGATGTTGTTCCAGGTTGTCGGTCGTTGAACGATCCTCGAAGGAACACGATCGCTGTCCTCCCCACCTGAAGCTTCATATCCATCACTTGTTGACCTTGACAGTGGAAGTCCCTTTAGAGCAGCAGCTGCATTAGCTGCGGATAAACCCGTGAGTCTCTTGGACTCTTCAGCTCCAGAGGAGGATATTCGAAATGGATGGATGTCGGGCGAGTCCAAACTGCTCTCTGGAGAAGAGGCGACCATGGTGGAGCTCGACATTGCTCTACTTGTTTGGAAAGCACTGCGTGCTTCAAGCTGAAGAGGACCAAGGCTGGTTGATGTGCCAGAGAAGCCTTTTTCAACAGCTTTTGCTGGAATATTCGTCACGCGTTGCATAGGTAGATCAGCTGGAAGACGCACTCGTTTATTCCCTCGCCTTCTATTATTTTCAGGTCGTGAAACCATTCGATGACTACTGCTGCCAAAACCGCTATCTGTTTCTCGTTCAAAAGGAGTTGCTGATCTAACCACAGGCTGCAGAATTTTGGACTTCTTCCTTGCTTCTGCAGCAGCCTTTGAAACCTCATCAGCATTTAGCCTTGCAAGAGTCCATGGGCTGATCCTCACAGCCGCAGGGTTCTTTTTCTTTGTTGCTTCTTCACTAACCGTCCTCTTTCCAAGAGAACTAACAGACCCCGTCTCTGGTGGAATCACATCAAACTGAAAGGAAAAACAAAAACAGGTACTCACCCAACGGCAAATGCAGATTGATTTTCAATATTTATAACAAGTTTGAACAAGCTACAGAAGATTGACTTGGTTTTACCTGATCTTCAAGAAACAAGCGTGGCGGAGTGCACCATGCACCTCGGTGGAGAGTAGAGAACGAGCTCGCACTGCTTAGTCCAGTTAAAGAGCTGACAACAGACATTTGAGGACTTTGCTGGCCACCAACTCCCTGTTGCTCTTGCTCCTGCTCCCTTAGAGCTATGATATAATCATATGTTGTAATTCCCTGTTTCAGATGTAAATGCAGACAATTCAGTAACGTAACAGCTCAAGCCCACCGCTAGCAAATATTGCCTCTCAAGGTTTTAAAACGCGTCTGCTAGAGAGAGGTTTTCACACCCTTATAAGGAATGCTTCGTTCTCCTATCCAACCGATGTGGGATCTCTCAATCCACTCCCCTTGGGAACCCAGCGTCCTCGCTGGCACACCGCCCAATGCCTGACTCTAATACCATTTGTAACAACCCATGCTCACCGCTAGCACATATTATCATCTTTGGACTTTCCCTTCTGCCTTCCCATCAAAGATTTAAAACGCGTCTGCTAGGGAAAGGTTTCCACACTCTTACAAGGAATGCTTCGTTCTCCTCTCTAACCGATGTGGGATCTCACAATAAAAACCAATAATAAAAGCGGAGAAAAGAGAACATGCAGTTGCTGTACTTGCCTTCTTTATGAGAAGGATGTGAAAAAAGAAGAGTTGAGCAAGTGGCAGTGTTGCTATCATAGCCAAGATCGTACAAACCGCCTGAAAATGAAAGTTATAGGGAGCAGTTCAGAATGGATGCTGCTGATGTTATTTATGTTCCTCGTAGGAAAAAACAATAATAGAAGCCAGGCAATGGTCAGGATAACTTACCACTACAACAATGAAGGGTGCCAAAGAAAAACTGCTACCTAACTTCAAGGAGATCTCCACAGAGAAACGTTTTTTCTCGACCACACAGCAGATCAAAACAAGGATTCCACTCGACCATTGTACAATAAGCTGCAATCTCAACCTGTCAATAACTAATTAAAATGAAACTGACATGAAAAGTAATCTACTCTGGTGGGATGGTCATGAGGTGTTGTCATGTTGCAAGGAGAGATCCTACATCGATTGAAGAAGGGAACGAGTGTCAGCGAAGACGCTGGACACGAAGGGGGGTCATCGATTGTGAGATCTCACATCGATTGGAGAGGGGAACAAAGCATTCTTTACAAGGGTATGAAAACCTTTCCCAAACAAACGCATTTTAAAAATCATGAGGGGAAGTCCGAAAGGGAAAACTCAAAGAGGACAATATCTACTAGCGGTGGGCTTGGACCGTTACAGAAAACTTTTTAACTTTTTGGTTGCTTGGTAAAGATGTTAGAAACATAAGGGCAGCTATCCTAAAAAGAAACTCATATATCTATGGTTAAGGGAAATATCTCTTCCACAGCTCAGCATATTTAAAAAAATTATCTGCCATCCAATTGTTACACTCTGAGAAGTAAGGTAAGTGTCAAGGTTATAAACGGACTTGACGAAGCAATGCTTCGGAATTGTACAAGAACAGAGAGGAGGCTCGAACTTACCAGGAGGAGAGAGGTAACCATGAGGGTGAAAAATTGCCGATAGTTCTTCCGACCAATACAGTTGTTAAGCCACTGCAGAACCACAAAGTACAAAAGTTGTAAGAAAACGATCCGTGTAGCTGCTGGACTGAGGAAGGGAATGAGATGAAAGTTCAAACATTTTGTATACCCGGCAATGGTGATCAAAACGATCGACACATTTATCGCAAACTCTACAGTGCTTGCTGTACTTGAAAACCTGAACCAGAATATTGCTCAGATTAGTTAAACATAGAGAAAGATTCTGAGTTGAGTTTTTCTTATTCCAAATTATGTTTTGGTAAGCGTTCGTTAGAAGTTTTTTCGGTTTGGTCTCCTATAACCGACTAGCTTACTGAAACTACGAGCTCTTCGAAAGATCAATCACCTCCACTTCACACAAACTGCAGTAAAACATGCCATCTTCACTCATGTGTTGCTCGGAAGATTCCTCTTTCGGACTCAAACAATTGCACACATATGCACAAGGGAAGCACGCCAACGAGAGACAGGACAACTTCTTTGATGCTGGACTATCATTCTCGTTCTGCAGTAGGTCCTTAGAATTTGCATCTGCACCACCAGTAGTATCTTTACCGACAGATCTTTCTTCCATAGAGACGGCGTTGGGATCACGTGTGGATATCACCGATGCCCCACCGAGTTTCGAACTTTTTTGTTGAGAACACTTCCCTTCATCCGGAATATCAACATACTTTTTGGATTTAAACACTCCCGAGTCTGCAGGGTCAGCTGCCGCACACCAGATATACAGGCCGAACACACACGTAATCTATAAGCGAAAGAGATGTCCTGAGCTTTTACGAACGAAGGAAACGAAAAACCAAGTTCCACAAAAAGATATCAATGATCAAGAACAGGCAGAATGAAGTGACTTGCACATTTCATTTTCCAGATCTTGGAATTGAAATCAGCAAAGCTAGTAAAGAGCACAAGCCCTGTATTTCGTCTCTGAATGCTCAAAACATCAAATATGATACACTTCATGGGGAAAGTATTCGAGTTCTAGAACTCTTTCCATCCACCACAGATATCCACAGGCCCAAAATTTCATACCCATCAGAAGAACTTCTATCAGTTACATACACCAACCTCATCTTATACATATAGATTGGTAATTGATAGGACACATGGGGTTCCAACACTACAATAAACAGGATTTGGAACCATCCCATTCTTCCAAGATAGCCCAAAAGCCATAAAGTTCAGGTTCATTTTGGGTTGAAACAGTGAAACTCCCTATCAGGCAACATTATCTTCAAAGTTCATAAAGAGGCTAAACAAAGGGAACAAGGCGGAGCTAGATCATATGGGACTGAATGAGGGAGATCGAGAAATAAAAGAGATCTTACAAGTGGGGAAAGATCAAAATCGCAGAACCAAAAGATTAATTCAGAGACAAACAAACGCAGAAGGGATAGATCTCAGCCCCATTCGAACCATTGCATATAAAAGGATAATGGGGAGAGAGCTTACAAGAGGAGTATATAGGCCAATCATGACATACTGAAAAACCTTCGTCCCAACAAAGGGAGCAAAGAAGACATAGAAAGCAAACCCCAGAGCCAGAAATACAGCAACCGCAACCACCTTCAAGAAGAAACAGAGAATCAAACTCAAATTCGGTGGAAATGTATGTATGTATGATGAACGAAAAGAGGAAAGGGGAGGAAATACAAACCTGGAGAGGATGATATGGAAGTTGCCATCCGTGCTTCCTCATTGGGCACACCCAGAAGAATACAGACAATAATCAAAATGGCGAAAGTGAAGAAAGCAAGATAACAACAAGGAAACGAGATGGGGTTTCCTCCTTGAGCCTGAAATTCAGATAATTAACTCCCCCTTTTCTCCATTTCCCACAGAAACTACAAGATTTGCCACTGAAGTTTAGTCATATTTGGGATTCAAATCAAAAGAAAAACAAAGAAGAGAAAGGGAAAGATAAGGGTATTGCTGAAAAGAGAATGTGAGCATTAAAAGAGTAGACAGCAAGGATGATTTGTCTGGCTTGACCGATTTGTTGTTTGGCTTGGCTCTGCAGTCATGGAGGCGAAAGGAGAAAGAACAGAAAGAGGGTCTGGCTCTGGGTTCTCTTGGGTTGCTTGCAAAAGCTTCCGTGAGGGAATCTGTGAACCCGTGAAGGAGAGGAGAGAGGAGAATCGAAAACTAAAAAGGATAGAAGCAGGGCTGGGTTTTGCTTTTGAACCCTATAATTACATCGCAACCTCCCTTTTACTTTAATTTTTCTTGTTTCTAGCGTTACCCTTTTTCCCTGGGCAAATCATGTGTTCCAGAGGATACACCACTGCCATTTTCATACCTCTCGCTTTCTAAATCCCATTTCCCTTCTTTAAAACAACCCTTCAATTCAATTTTCAACGCTCATTGCTTCTGGGTTCTTCTTCGACCAACAAAACAAACAAGTAGACTAAAGAAATTGGACCCCCTCACGCCTAAAAGCCCAAACACTTGTTAGCTGCTGTTACTTTCACTATTTTGAACGCAAATGAATTAAACCAAACCACTCCACTACTCCATTAAATGTTCTTCTGCTTTTCTTTTTGAATCTGTCCTTTTGTATTGAATTGGTAGTTGGTACCCAGAAAACGATTAGACACCATCTTTTGGATTCACAATTCCTTTCTGTTCCTTCATTTTTTTCAAATTATATGCAAAAAAAGGTCAGAAAGTACAGCAAGAACACAGTGAATACTAGTACATATGGCAAAAATTTAAGCATTTAGATCAAAATTCTGCCTTCGGCTCTTTAATTTTACACTTCCCCACACCATTATTGTAGTGAAATCTCATCTGGGTGATGAAATTCCAAGAACAGTACTTGATAAACAAGTGAGCTTAACGAACAAAACTTGAACTTGAATGAATCCCAATGCGAGAGAATGACATTACATTAAAGGAAACGTGAGATGTGGGTCAGTGACTCTCTGGATTGTGTGTAGTTTAGCGCCTAATTTTAGTCATTTTTTCTTTTGGAAGGAAAAAAAAGGTAATGTTTTGGAAATGAACTTGGCATTTTGTTGTCAGTCATTGGGCTCCATGTAATTAAAAATAATAATTAATTAAATGCATTTATTCTATAAAAAAAATCAATTTTCAAATTAGAATGATATTGCTATTCAATTTTGGACAGCGAGGGTTCGTGGATTAAATTAGATCAGGTTGGGACCTTTTTGTATACCCATTTTTTAAACTTAAATAAGTTTATAACCCAACTGTAATTTGAATTGAGTTTAGTCGATCATGGTTTTCGAGTCACTAGGTCTCTCGAACTCCTCTAATTTTCAATTTTAACCCAAGTCACCACCATAATATTAAACTTTTAATATGAGTATTATTTAAATAACCATTTTTTCTAATCTAGGTCAAATCCCTTCCCATCAACCGTTCATTCTCTCAAAATCCACTCCAACGGACATGATCAAGGGGGTACACAGATCATCATAGAGCCTCACCGCAGACAACCAGTACTCTGAACGTAAATAAAAATAAAAAAATAAAAAAAAGGTAAAATAATAATTAAATAGCTAAAAAAAATACAAAAACGCAGCGTTTCTGGCAGGGTAGCTCAACCGCATTAAATTCTTTTTGGAGGACTCCCTGTCGCTCCTCGATAGGGTTTTTAGTATATATGCACTTTACCAGCGCGAATTCCTAGCCGAATAGATTTTGCAAATCGCGTTGACCCGAGGAATTCTCTCAACCGTCGATTTCGATTCACCGTCCTTCTTGAACTTGATTCGTCGTCTCATCGGACCGTCATGAATCCTCTTCGACGCCTACCAAAGTTGTGTACTGCCATACTGGATCGCATTAATTTTTTATTTTTTATTTTTTGTTCCCCGCCATCTTCTGTTTATTTAAAAGTTCATTTTTTTTAATGGTAATTACAATTAAAATTCGTAATTTGAATTTGGCACTGAGTTACATGTTCACATCACTTACTTTTCACTCGAAAACTATTCTTCACAAACCAACATGGAAAATCTTGAAAGGTCACCCAATATATAATTATTCCAAGTAAATATAATAATAATTTGTTTTAAAAAATGTGTTCCATACGTTAAATTTGGCTTAAAAAAATATACTAAAAGATAAAATAGTAAAAATCTTTCTGAGATAAAAGTATATAAAATGAGTTTGGAACAAAAATGCGACACTAGACAACATATCCTAGACAAGTATGATCGGGACATTCAACATGTGGCTATAGACAACATGCCTTGAACAAGCACGATCGTGACACTAAACAGACATTTTAAAATTTTAACGTATAAAATAGAATAAACTTCAAAAATCTAAACCTGAGACATTTCACAAGTTTGGAATGTGTGTGTGGTTAAGGCCTAAGGGGATGGTGGGGACAAGGCAAAATTAAAGGTTTTAGGGACACATTCTCACCCTTATAAATGATAAAACCAAAAAGAGGAAATGGGTTGGACAAGCATCTGATGCCTTCATTCAATCATGAGTAGCTCACGAGTAACGAAAATGAAACATTTAGAAAGTCGTTTCGAACAGCCTGTTGGAATCACTGAAGACTTGCTGACGAAAACATTTAGAAAGTCATTCCGAACATATCTTCTAACCACAAAATCTAGCTCAATAGATCAAACTGATTCTTATTCCCACATTTATAAACCAACATTTAACAACTTACGAGTATTTTGCGACTTTCACAATCGACACGTGGACCATACCACATTTGGGTTGAATGTTCACTAACAACTCGATCACATTACAACACATTCATGTCCCTTGAACCACAAGACAGTCAGGCAGCTAACAGAAAATTTTCAAGACCCACGAAACAGCTCGACCCAAAAACGAAATAATATGGAACGGATCACAATCATAAGTAAATAATATATAGATTCATTTACAAAAGAATGCAAACAATATGTTTCTTTCAGGTACATACATACAATAACCATTACAAACTAATTCCTCTTCATGTATCGTTTTCCTTTTTTACTGTATATGAAGGAGTGGACAAAATGGTATTGATTTATGAAGTATGGCTTTGGAAGTGGGATATATAAAACAAGCAGAGAGCATCTGGCAGAGAAGTATGATCTTTTTGCTCATAACTGGAACAACCTACGTTATTTGTTCTTCCTTTAACCGTAGAACTCCAGCATGCTGATGACGGGAGTTTCCATGATCATTGTTCTTATTTGAAATATTATGTGATTTTAGCTGTGGAACGTTACTGTTGACTGACCTGTGGCTGCTGATTTTACCAGCTGGAACGTCATGATTGTGTTTACCCTCATATGTCGTTATGACAGCTTTCGGGTCCATTGAAGCTCTCTCTACATGTTTACGAACATTGCATCCTGGTGTCGTGCATTTATAGTAGCTCCTGCAATGAAGATCTTTTGATGAATGTAAAAAAAGGACAATCCCAAAGATAGTGTCAACAACATCTCGCGCAAACATAGACCAGTCTTGACATTTCAAATTACAACCAAGAATGTAACGGCTCAAGCCCACCGCTAGCAGATATTGTCCTCTTTGGACTTTCCCTTTCGGGCTTCCCCTCAAGGTTTTTAAAATGTGTGTGATAGGGAGAGGTTTCCACGCCCTTATAAAGAATGCTTCATTCTCCTCCCCAACCGATGTGGGATCTCACAATCCACCCTCCTTTGGGTTCATTCTTCTCCCCAGCCAATGTGGGATCTCACGATCCACCCTCTTTCGGGGCGCAACGTCCTCGCTGGCACTCGTTCCCTTCTCCAATCGATGTGACACCCCTCAATCCACCCCCCTTCAAGGCTCAGCATCCTTGCTGGCACACTGCCTCGTGTCCACCCCCTTTCGGGCTCAACCTCCTCACTGGCACATTATCCGGTGTTTGTCTCTAATACTATTTGTAACGGTTCAAGCCCACCACTAGCAGATATTGTCCTCCTTGGGCTTTCCCTCAAGGTTTTTAAAACACGTCTGAGAGGTTTCCATACCCTTATAAAGAATGCTTCGTTCTCCTCCCCAACCGATATGGGATCTCACAAAGGAAGATGTTAGTTTTGAAGTGTGTGAATTTTTAAGACCACTTTGTTTGTCAATACAATGGCAATCTACGTTCTATAACTCGAACTACTGAAACTTGATGAGATAAAAAGCACGCTTACGACGCACGACTCACCTGGGGTAAGGGTTGCCTTTGACAATTTTCTGCCCATACTTTCTCCACCTGTAGCCATCGTCCAATAGATCGACTTCGCTTGTAGTCTGCACAATGATTCTGGATTCTGCAAGAGTCCTATGAGAAGATGCTGGCTCAGGAAGCCTTACCTCAGTATTCCTGCATAATAGAGGTAGAACATTGCTCATATCAATCAAAAAACAAGCAGCAGCTATATACTTGTAAGTTGAAAAGGCACATTCTTCTGCATAATAACGCTTACCGTCTCTTGGCATCAGGCTCATCGTCATCTTTTCGATTCACTCCAGTCTCTATCTCACTCCCTCCCTCACCATCACTAGTACCTGACAACTTTTCATGCGTAACATGACTCGATTCTTGATCATTCTTTATGGAAGACACATCTTTCAGCTCGTTCAATTTACTCTGAACTTGAGAACATAGCTCAGGATTTCCATGAGTACTTGAATATCCGTTAGAATTTCCGACATCCTTTCCCCGCTTGTTCGGTTGAGGTTGTTTGTGGTTGTGCTCCCCCTTGTAGATAATCTCAGTGACTTGTCCTTCAAGAGATCGTTCAACCTTTTTCCTAACAGGACAATTCGGGTGCGTGCACTTATAGTAGCTTCGAGGAAATTCACCGCCCTTCACTTGTTTCTGTCCATATTTTCTCCAATTGTAGCCATCATCACCAGGTCTACCAACAGTACACAAAGAAGATTGCACTCTCTGCTCTGATTGAGAGATATCCAATACCTCCTTGGATGCAACTCCAGCGTTCGGGAATGGCGGTTGCATCGGCTGTTCTTTAGTCTTCTCGCCCAGAAAGGTCGTCGAAAGCTCTAAGGACGACGCAAAGGGTGCTACTGATGGTGACAAAGATGCTGCTTGTATTTGCTTATGAGAATAGGCTTCTGCAGCCTGCATAGTAACCTGAGCCAAAGCCTGCTGATGGGTCATTCCAAAAGGTCCCTATAACAAGCCATGCCAAAACAAAGTGAGCCAACATTCACAAAGTCTACAAAGAACGACATAACAGGCCAATGTTCATCTTTATTTCTTCTAAGACAATTCGAAACATGAAAGTTTCAAAAGGATTATAGTTCGAACTGCAAATGAAACGGGGTCGAATGATCAAGCATGTAACATCATAACAAAGATTCGAGAATCTTAAGGTCACTAGTTTGAACAAAGATTCAAGCCACTCAACCAAGTGAACTAATCAGTCGTCTTCATTAATACAACCATTCTGCTTCTTTCACTATGAACAAACATGAAACAAAAACTGAATAACATGTTTAATATGCATAATCAATTGTCCTAAAAAAGCCATTAAAGAGCGGTAAAGAAAACATGATCCGGATTTTTCTCATGATTGTCCAACAGCTATAAAAGTAGTCTGTCATAACAGCGAATTTTAAGCAATTACTTGACTAGGCGAAAGAAGCCCAGGAGAATCGAGCAGACCGGGAGGGCCTTTGAACTCAGATTCCAGCGGAGGAACAGCCACCGGCGATGTCATGGCTCCAGCGAGGAGCTGAGAAAAAGACTTGCAGTCATCGGGATCGGAGAAGAAGCTGGAGACGAGGGTCATCGGCCCTGGGCTAAACCCAAATCCCAAACCGAGGCCACCGCTGAAGAGCGACTCCATAGAGGTCCGTGGCGGCAGATTAATAGTGGGCCTCAAGGGACGGGGCTTAAGTTTGGAGGGCGGTTGCGGCGAGGACGGTGGCGGTTCTTCTTCATCGTCACCCATGAATCAAAAAATGAAAGTGAAAGTAATCAATCAAAGTGGGGCGTTTCTGGAATATACCAAAAGTTCGAGTTCCTGGGATTGTTCTCGGGATCTGAAATTGAGCTGAAAGAAAAAAGTCCACGCCCCGAATAAAGAAAAGGGGTAATTACACTAATCCAAACAACAACTTTTGTAATCCTCTTTCTGTTTCCTTCTTCAATAATCTCTGAGCTTATAGCTCCAATTGTTACAAAATTAACCTCAAAATTCACAAAATTACCCACAACCAACAGATTTTTTTTATGTTCAATGTTCTAAATTCATCTTCTCTTGGAACTTCAAATTTGATCAAAAGATTATTTTAATTTTTGAAGATTTAATGTTCTATTTGAGGTTGGGAATTCCATTGTTTGGATGATTTCATAAAATTTATAGTAAATTATTTCATTTAACTTTCTATTAGTGGATCGAATTAAGAGTAAACTTTTTTATTTCAGTTATTATCCAAACATTTAAATATCTCATAATAAAAAAAATTAAAATAAAATTTTCCAAATTCCAATTAGATGGTTTTTTTAATTATAAGAAAAAGAAAACAACTATTAAAATATCAACCGGGTGATTCTGTAGTTTCAATGGGAAGAGAGGGGCAAAAACGGAAAAGTGAAGGAAAAATATATTTAGGCGTTGGCACAAATTGAAAGGATAGGGGATAGGATGATGAAGTTCAGTTAATGTTCCTTTGATTTTGAAGGAAGAGGTTAAGGTCGTAGGAGGGACCCACGGGGATAGAAAAATAAAAATGCAACTAAATGACGAGTCATTATCATATTTCTTTAACCATTTTAATATTAGAACTAAATAAATAAATATCCAATTCAAAACGTTTATTGAGCTAAACGTAATTGAGACTCCACAAGGACCTACCCCGAATAAGAAGCCCTATTTCGAGGATGGATATGAAGGAGCGGAGAACATATTTTCCCTGTTAGATAAATGGGGCCTAGGGCGTTCCCGCCTCATCCCATCTCCTCCCCCACTAAATATAAATATATTTTCAAAACTAAAATTTTTGTAGAAATGGGATGAAAAGGCTTCCTCATCCCCACCCTGCCCCATAGACATCTCGTCTCTAGTCGGGAGGGCCCTCCTTTTTATTGCGCTTACTAACAAACAGTGTCAGTATACAGCAGCAAGTATGAAACATTGGTAGCTATATATAAATGAATGCTCCAAGAAAACATATAAAGCCAAGATTCATAAGAAAGAGAGTTGCACAATATGATAAGCAATAGAAGTATATAACTAAGGAAGAAATCCCTATCGGTGAATAAATATTAGAATGATTCTATCCTACGACTCTTAAGCAACCATAGCAACTATGAAGTTTACATAATTTGATGACGGACGACTAGCCAGGAATCAACTCTTAATTCAAACAGCAATAGGCAGGACAAAAATAAATCTTAATTGTAGAGACTCCAGAGTAAAAGAAACAACTAATCGAGGAGCAGCATCGAACCAAGCTTTCTCAAAACATGTCAAACAGGATTACGACCTGGATATCGTTCTAAAATCTTTTTGAGTTTGTTTTCCCAGAGGAAACTATTTTGGGCCGATGTCCTTGAGAGCGCAGATTTGCTCCTCTCCCATTGAAGACATGACAGTCACAATCAGATCCTTCCCCTCAGCAAATCCATCCTTTATCTGTATGTAGCACATGGAACAAGACGACCAATCTTAAGAACTAATGCCACTCATAGCTCGCATAGAACAGAAAGCAGCCAAAATATGGAAGTAATATCATCTAAAGATATCGATCTCACAATAAGAATCCACCTCGCAAGAAAGGAAGTCACTTCTAGATCAACATATCAATATTTATCAACCAAGATTTACCCTTTATAGAAAAGCTATAGAATTTACAATCTTGGTTTGGAATCATGGGATCCTTTACTATCTACTAATATTAAATGGTTGTTAGTTAATCATACAAAAACTAAATTTCTGCATTTGAAAACAAGGTTTTAGCATTTAAGATTTAAAAAAAAAAAAAAACACAGTTATTTCAACCCTTCTTCAGGGGTACACCCACCTTATTAAATAAACCACATGTCCACATTTAGCAAGAAACTCAAACCTATCTCAATCCTATATTAGTGAACAGAAAACCATATACACTCATAACTCCTGATCCCAGAGTAATGAAGTCCCATAAAAAAAAAAGGACCGGCTAAAAAACGTGAAGGAATGAAGAAATAGTCGCAATGGGGTCTACCAAGCCATCAAGGCCAATTGAACACAACACAGGAAACTGTCGACAGCCAATAAGAAAATATTACCTGGGTCATCAGACTCTCATCGTTTGGAAGCCTCAGGTCATCCTTGGTGTTACCACTGTCCGTCAGCAGGCTAATCTGATAAGTTTACATTGAAATTAGGGTTGTTAGCCACGGTGCTCTACATGAACAACCGGGGGAAATCGATATAAGAACTAAACAAACAGAATTTAATCATACAAATCCATCCTCAGAGATATCAATGAGCTGATAATCAGTGCGACTGACATGGGGAACCTGTGTTTCAAGAATACAAGACTCAGTAATCACAAAAAAAACTTGCTCAAACAAATTTACAGCCTGCTAAGAAAAGTATAAAATCGAAAAGGAAAAGAAAAATCTTCATACATCACAGTTGTGAGAAGAAGGAACGATATCTTCAAGCTTTTTAGAGGTGAAAATGTCAATGGCAACAAAGTGACATTTAGCATGTCCGTGCTTTCCAGTCTTAGAGGTTGAAACTTCAACAACCTACAAACGATAATGCATGTGCCTTAGGTCAAGATTTGTTAAAAGGAAAACAAATATAATATTATGCTGAAACCACCAAAGGTGAAAACCCTAAAATAAAAAGACTGACATATGATATCTCCATACAATTCATTACTTCCATTTAAGCTTTACGAGGTTGGGCATCAATTCAATTTCATCCAAAATAAATTTGACTTACAAACTAAAATAGATGGACGACAGCATCTAGGAGTAAAATCAGAAGAGAAAAATAGGTAAGTACATAAATAAAGGATAGAACAGCGGAGAAGATCAGTCCCAAAAATCACAGAAACACAATCAACCGAAACCACAGAAGAAGATGGGATAAAAGGAAAGCCGTTGAAGAAGTTACATGAAAAATTGAAGCAGAGGATTGAGCGCATAACTATCAATCGTGTTAAACAAGAATTATGTAGATAAATGGGGCGAAGGATGAGGGATAATTGAGGAAACAGAACGAAAACGATAAGAACCTTGCAAGGCCTGCCCTTGATGACAATGTAACCATTCTTGCGGATGGTTCCAGCCTGCTGAGGATAAGTCTTGGAAGCTCCGGCGTCGGCCTTCGACTCGAAGTGGTGCTCCTCGTCAGACATGGCTCTGTAGGGAGAAAGAGTGCAAAGAGGAGAGGGTGATGACGGAAAAGTAAAAAGGCTCAGAGACGTGCGACGGAATGGGTTGAGGAAAGAAGCGAATTTATATATGCACGAGAAAAACGAAGAATATAGGATGGACGGCAACAAAGGGGAGCGAGTATCCTAGGGTTTCAAAAAAAAAAAGTGTATATATATATATATATTAATAGTATTATAAATTATATTTTTTTTATTTAATTAATAACTTTTGGAAACAAATACTAAATACTCAATGGCACCATGATGTTATTGCTCAAGACGTAAACGTTATTACCATATTATAAAAGGAAATAAATTTCAATCATGGATCTGTGGCGCAATGGTAGCGCGTCTGACTCCAGATCAGAAGGTTGCGTGTTCGATTCACGTCAGGTTCAAATCCATTTCATTTTTTTTCCATTTTTCTTTCTTCCTTTATAAGTCGGGCTTGGGCTTGGGCTTAGCTTGGGCATAGCTAGGGCTTGATCGATTCACGCAGGTTAAAATCTATTTCATTTTTTTTTTTCCATTTTTCTTTCTTCCTTTATAAGTCGGGCTTGGGCTTGGGCTTGGGCTTAGCTAGGGCTTGATTTACAGCCTGGAACTGGACTGCCTTTTGAAACTGATGTATAACACTTTGCCGGTGGTCATCAACAGAAAAATTAAAGTTTCACTCTAAATATAAAGTCATATTTGAAAACTATTTCTTCTTTAGTGGTCTGCTTCCTAAAATTATGATCGTTTTTTATCAATTTTTTTTTGGTAAACTTCTCACCTTCCATAAAAACACATTTAATTCTAAACCAAATTTGTTTTTAAAAACTACTTTTTTGGAGCTTAATTTTAAAAATAAAAATGGATATATTGGACATGAGATTAATCTTTTGTAATTTAATGCTAAATGGCCATGCCCATTTCCGAATATCCATCCAACACCTCTTCCTCTCGAACAAAGTAAGTCTCCGCTTAATCGAGGCTCGACCCCTCTTCTTTTGGAGTCCTTTGTTCGACATTTAAGGATCTATTGACACGACTAAATTTAGGGTATGACTCTAATATCATGTTACGAATCACGACTCTCCACAATGTTATGATATTGTCTACTTTGAGCTTAAGCTCTCAGGCTTTGCTTTGAGCTTTCCAAAATGCCTCACACCAAATAGAGAGTGTATTCTTTGATTATAAACCCATGACTATTCTCTAAATTAACCGACGTGGACACTTTCATCCAACACTAATAAGTTAAAAATCAGCGTACCTTAATTTAAATCTGCTATAAGCAAACACCGATGGTCAACAAGCGGACAGAGAGAAGCTAGAGTGCACAGTCTTGTTAATTAGCAGCTTACCCTGTTGAAAATGAAATAGCTAATGGTCCGAAGAACAGCAAATACTCTACACAACATGATCAAACAAATAAAAGTTTTTGCTACTACACTACGTTTTCATAAATAAAAAATGAGACAACGAAGCAGGACTTAAGAACCTTTTCCTTCTGCAATTAATGCGTCGAAAATGGGACCTGCAGAGCCAGATCTCTCTCCATCATCCTTCAATTCTGTATTTATGGTTGCTCCAATTTCCTCACTGCCTTGATAATCAGCCTTCACCCTTCGCACGGGCACCGTTACAGAGTAAATCGTTCTGAGATCTGAATCAGTAGAGACATTAAATTGAACTTTATCTTCTGAATCTATTTCTACAAAATCCGAAAGAGAACTCAACATGCTGTCCACAATTTTTTGTTTAGTTTCATCATTAACTGCACATCGATCGGACAACAGAATCATCTTTAACCGCTGCTTGGCAATCATAGCATTAGAGTTCGATTTGGATGTTGATGATGGAAAAATTATCCTCCAAGCCAATATTAATCGTTCTAAGAAGTTCATCTTCATGGAACTGAGGATAAAGCTTTCTTGGCTTAAGGATCTTGGTGATCGTTCATAATCTGCTGAGCTCTCAACATCTTGCTGGGAGATACCATGTATGCTATCATTTTCATGTGCCATGGTGCGCCATTTTGGCTTGATTCCTTTATTTCCAGATCTTCTATGAACAAAACCAGAGAGGTCAACCTGCATTACAATAAATTAATCTCAAACTAAGGAAAGCCGCGATTCCTTTATTTCTCCATACCATTCACTATACAGAAGATGCAGTAAAATCTGAACAAACGCCTCGATTGTCTCCAGAACTAAAACTGAAATAAAAGGAAGGTTTAAAAAATCTTCGTAGATAGGCCATCTAAGTTCATGTTATAGGTACTTCAACGACGCAACTTGGGAGAAACCAAACCAGTGTTAGTATATGTCTCGCAACTATCAAGAAACACAGTCTAAGCCATCTCAACTATTCAAATTCAAACACGACTCGGTGCAATTACTTGACCAAGACAACTATTAATAACGGGAAAACCTGGAAAAATGTCCAAGCGGCATCAAGAGTTGAGTTCAAAATCAAGTCCAAAGGCACAAATAAATTAATAAAGACCTGAAGAAGCAACTAAACAACTAGTATTTGAACACTGCCGTCAGAAATGAAAAAAGATATAGCCGAAAGGTTCCGATCAAAACAAAAAGGTCGAATGGCAAATCACAGAATCAGATTCCAGAAAGTAATAACTTGAAAACTATAGACATGTTCGATATCACTTAATATGCAAATTTCCAAAGGCTAACGACTAATCTAGTTCCTTCTTACAAACATCAAAGTCTATTCCATGCATTTGTTGGAGAAATTGAGATGCATTTGACGAATGCCAACAAACTGGGATGAAATTGAAGATAAGAAAGCTTAGTATTAGAGAAATGAAGCTAAGAGAATTGAGTTTCAAACCTTAGGAGGCTGAAGGGAGATCGGAGAATGCCGTGGATAACAAGAACCTAGTGTTGCAAAAGCCCTTGGATATCCAGGCATCGCCATTTTCGAGTTCCTTTCCCTGTTTCGTTCTCCCGCGCTTTCACTCTCTTTACCCGAGAGAACTACTGACTAGGGACCATTATCAGGTTCTAGCGCTGAGCAACGGTCGTACAGAGGCCTGAAACGACGACGTTAAAAGTCGGGTACCAATGTCCAGAAAAACGACGTCGTTCACTCGGATGACGTGTAATTACTTTTTTTCTGTTTTTGTTTCCAAAATAAATAAATAAATAAAATAAAACATTAGTTCGAGCCAATTTGGTAACACTGTCATTTCCCATTTTCTGTTTGTCTTTTTTCTCCTCTCCCATTCTTAAAATTAATTTAATTTTACGAAAAATAGAAGAAAATCCAAAAAAAAGAAAGAAAAAAAAAAAAAAGAAGTCAATAAATGCATATTTATTTATCTCTAAAAAAATATTGTAACCCTTAACACTCCAGTCTCTTCATAAGCTATCAGCTCCGCTAGGTAAGCAAGTTGGGAAGCATTACATTTTATGGATCAACTGGTTTGGACACTCCTCATGAACACAATATCTATAATAAAAGGAGACAAGATTCAAATGCAACTAATGTAACCCACAGGATTCATTTCCCTGCTATCCTTAATGATGCCTAACAATGTGCCATAGTTTGAATATCAGAATTCTTCTACCCTAACGGCGTCACGGGGCTTATCGTACGCATCTTTCAGTCTCGACTTCTTCACTCCTGCTGTGAACCAGACCTTATCAGATTTGTAGCCCTCAACCATCACGCTTGTCACTTTCACCCACACTAGGACTTTTGTCTTCATTCCTTCAATGCTTGTTAGCTTCCCTCTCTGAAGAGTTCCTTTCACCCGTGTTGCATATCTGACCACAGAAGAATCCTTGAAGCTTATCTCACAAACGGATGGTAAGTACACAATCAGCCTGGACCTGGATTCATCAAATTCGTAGCTGATTATGTTCTGAGGAAAGAGGCCGGGCGGTAAGTTGTACTCACGGAGTAATTCCGGCAGGCTCTTCAATGGCTTTCCTGTGGGGAGGGAAAAAAAAATGTTGAATGCTAAGATGGGTTATGATTTTCTTCAGTATTAAGCTCATGTAAATCTACTAAGACTTAATAGAGGAGATGAGAGGCAGTCATAAAGGGAGTGAAAGATAGTTTGATAGAATATGAACAAATCAGATATGCAGAAAGAGAAAAGGAAAATTCTGATCCCTAGCGGTACAAAAAGAGAGGTCATGATGTTACGCGCCTAGGAGGGCTGCGCGCTTTGGCCCGAACCCAGTGCCACATTAGGCTAGGGATTGGGGCAATAATAGAATTTCATTCATAGGGAAATTTCGGGAGAAGCTGAGAGGCTGAGGTAGGGATTATTCATTTATCCTGCACTTCCCACAGAATGCAACCGGATATAGCAGCAATATGGTTCATCAATCCAGCATTGAATATGCAATTATCCTAATATGAAAGGAGAGGATGTGCAAGAGGTCACCTTTTAGCTTGTTGAAAATCCACTTTGCCTTCTCTTCCACGGTATTTGAGAAAGTCTGCAACAAAAGATAAAATATATGAGATTCTAACCAAGGTCTAAGTTCAATATTCGCCTATACAGAAATGGAGAAACGCTCAGAGTTTTAGCTGATGCCAATTGCTACTTAAAGCAAGTTTTGAGCATCCAGATATAATCTGATTTAGACGTGTTTGCATCAAGCGTCCTGTTCGACATTTAACAATCAACCTCACGTTTGAAAGAAACATTGCAAAAAGAGAAATACATATCAGCATCTCCTTGATAGATCAGTCCATTTTCACTTCCATCATAACCCTACCGGTCAATCCTCTGATTAGTGGAAGAAACCAACGGATCTCGCCTTAATCTCGGTACGAAGCCGTATACAAAAAAAATCGGTACAAAGTCCACCGCTAATGACAATCAAGGGTAGCTTCATTTCTCAAATCGCGAAAAGTAAAAATAAACTCAACACTAAAATAAAAGAAAAACACAGGCAGATGCTCGGCTACACAATACACAAACGAACGAACAAAATTGACAAACACAAAGCAGAAACAAGAACAGAAACTCACTTGGAAATCGTCGGTGATATTAGCGAGTTCCTCCTTGGCTTTCTTTGAAATCCACAAGCTCCCGACCTTTAAGCTGGTCACTCTGGTCAAGGCCTTCTCCATTTTTGCAGCTCGGACCGACCTTCACTCCCTCTAGAGCTGGGCTGGGAGAGAAGAAAATGGGGGAAGTAAGAGAAGTGGAGAAAATGGGAGCCACACCCATATAAATCTGAAGCCACCTCGAGAAGACAAAGGCGCCACTGTCAAATGTGAATCGCAGTGAGTGTGAAATGGAATCGAGAGGGTAATTTGGTAATTTGGCGTGGAGCTAATCTTCAGGCTTTTGAGCGGTTTCACGGCTATGCCATTCGCTATTCTAACGCCTAACTTAAAATTTTAAAATATATATAAAATTTTAAATTTTTTATGATTATAAAATTAATTATAAAAATATAAATGAAATAGACACCGACTTTTAAAATTAAAATATATATATATATTTCCAAAACAGTGGCGGGTCGAGAAGACAGAAAAAACAGAAAGGGAATTAAAAGGGAGAAAATTCCACGCCTTTTACTGGGAATCGTGAATTGAAAGACGAGAATGATTCGATTGGGTGATTGGACGATGAAGATGATTTGGCACATGGGTCGGTGGGGTCCACTCTTCATGGTTTACAGCTCAAAACTCTAATTCACGCTAATTTTTAACCCAACAAAATTACATCTACCAATACGGTACATTTTATTCACTTTTAACCCCAAAGATAGAAAATTCTCTTTCATTTTACATTTCTGAACCAAACATCCATTGAATTTAACATGAAAACTGAAATTTTGGTTACTTTTTCCAAGGTTGACTTTTCTTTTTTTTCTTTTTTATTTATTGAGGATTTGTAATCCATAATATATTTTGTGAAGTTTGGTATTGGAATTTTATAAAATTTTAATTATCAAAATAAAATTATTAGGATCCTATATTTTTTAAAAAAATTACTCGACAACTCAACAAAAAAAAATAGAGGGTTGGATGAGGTTGAATTGTGAATTCTATTCGAGTTGTTCTAGTCACTAATCCAACCAATCCAAAATTTCGAGTTAGTCAGGAAAAAAAAAAAAAACAATCCAACCCGTGTATACCCCTAATAGAACCATTACATTAACGAATGTATTAATAGTGATTAGACTACTCTTATTGTGTCAAATGGTAGGTGTTAGACTTCTTCTATTATTTACCACGCCCATTCTTGACTCGTCAAGCTCGGCATTAATAGAGTCAAAGCACATGTCCTCTGAATTACAGTGTCTGAACTACTAAGAATTATATATGATAAAACACTACATTAGTTTTTTTTTTTTTTTTTTTTTTAATGCTTTGGATAA